GGGGCTGTGCCACCAAGGGCCCTTGTGCGGGCAGCCCGGTGCTGGGACTGGGAGGCGGCGGCAGGGGGTGTGCCAGCCGCCGTCGCCGGCTTGTTTGCTTCAGTGCCAGTTCATTAATATCGAAGAGCTAATTAGGATTCCGCAGCCCTTCCCACCCATCCCTCTCCTTTGGAGGATGGAGGATACTCGCTGTCTGCAGGATTTTGCTGCAGCCCTGCGTTAAAAGGATTCGGCCCTGGTCTGTCCCAGCCCGGTGGTTTGTGTCCCTCTCTCAGGTCCTGGCTAATCCACGTGGCTAAAGCCCCTCAAAGGCTGGCAAATGGGAAGTGATATTTGCCAATAATCCCTCCGCTCCCCCAGGCAGGCTTCTGATATTACGGGTTATTAAAAAACCAAAACCCAGGCAGCAATAACTGCGGCCCGGGGAGAGCCCAAGCACAGATTGCTCCTGGTCAAACCCCACCCAGCAGAAGGGCTGCAGGTGGAGGCGGCAGGGCACGGCCGCATCTCATGGAGCATCTCTAGGCAGAGCCCAGCCCCTCTTGCAAGAGAAGGGACGAGCCACAATCCTCTTGCTCCCTGGGGAGCAAGCAGGGATTCCCATGAGTCGCAGACTAAATCCTGTTTCTCCCTGTGGAGGCTGTGGGGAGCCCCGGAGGAGGTGGAATAAACCCCGCTATCGCTCGCCGTGGCTCCCCACCCTGATGCCAGCATCCCCTGGCCTTGGCATCTTCCCCACGGCTTGGGCTGGGCAGGGGCAGCTCCTGTGCTGGCATCTCATGGGGACAGCATAGAGCCAGCACTGCTCGCCTGCCACCCCTTGAGGACAAAACCAGCCTCTACTCCCAATTTTTTGCTTTGCTTTGCAGGGCATTTGAGAAAATTTGCCCAGAATTGGGGATGCTGTTTCCTCCAGGACAGGGCAGTGATGCTGCCTGCAAGAATGGGTTTGTCCCGCAGGAAATTAAATCCGCAAAAGATCTGTAGTTACTTGCATTTTTTTTTTCCCTGCAAGGAGTCTCACTGCAGCTCGAAACGTTTCATTGCATGGGTTGGGGGTTTCCTTCTGGTTTTAAGTCAGCATTTCCCCTTAAAATGTCACTCAGGGAAGGCTGCTTTTTTTTTTTTTCTAAGCAAAAGTCTGTGATGACATTTTTAAGTGGAGAAGAAAATTGCTGCTTCATTTCAAAATGCCAACTTCGAGTGGGGTGAGTTCGGGGTTTTTTATTCCAGTGTTTCCCAGGGGAAAAGCAAAATGGTTTTGTTAGACTTGAGTAACTGTTGCCCCCGTCACCCCCAAAATAAATCCTTTTTTAACCCAATGGCATTTTTGCAGCAGAGAAACTTTTGCCAGGAGAAGTTGTGCCCCTGGTGGGATGCTGCCCTGGGGAAAACCCTGTTGTACCCAAACCTGAGTCCTCTATGGCAAATCCTCTGCCACCAAACTCTGGCGGGGACCTGCAGGACAGTCTCCATCACCGCTGGCCGGCTTCGATCGCTGCAGGAGGGATTAACGGCCCATCCAGGTTTTGAAGCTCTTTTCTTTTTGCTTTCTCTCTGCCTCGTGCTCCTGGTTTTCTTTCGCGCAGCTTGCCCCCCAAATTGCTTGCGCTAGATTAGGCTAGAGACTGGAGTTATCTCCCTTTTATTTATTAGGGCAATTATACCTAATGATTCACATGCTCGTGGAGAGTAATTACTCCCAAATACAGCACCAGTGGTGTTCTTACCCAGCCTGGGTACAGTGATTCACAAATGCATCATTTTGTGCAAATCATCAAATGACGATCCCTTAAGTGCCGATTTGGTTTGGAGGTGGTAAAGAAGCGATCGAGGACCCGGCAGCACCATCGCTGTGCCTGGTTCGCTCCGGTGGTGGGGTCACTCGCCTGCTTCTCCTCCCCCCGGCTGTGCCGATAGCTGCCACCGCTTGCCTCCTATGTGGGTTTTGCCGGGATTTTGGTTGGGTTGAGTCCCTCAAGCTGTGGGATTTGTGCTTTTTGAAGAGCCACGATGCCTGATCCAGCAATTGTCTTGGCACAGCCTGGCCAGGGGAGAGCCAGAGCTGCCCCCCTCCAGGGTGGGGATGACCCCTCCATCCTCCCAAAACTCAGCAGCAACATGGCTCGACCTTTACCTCTTTGCAGCTCACCCACTTGGAGCAGGTGGGTGAGCTCATGAAATACTGATGTGGAAAGCCAAACCCTCCAGGTTTTGCACCAAAAAAAGGCCCCTTGCTCCAAATTGTTCAGCGTGGGGCAGCTGCAAGGGATGTCACCCTCTTCCCCAGAGCCTGGCAGCCCCCTGCCTGCGCTGCCCCAGGGAGGGGACACTAGGGGACCCTCACCTGGGGACCCCTGCCCATCCACCGTGCAGGGTCTGGCTGGGCAGGAGCATCCCATGACAGATGACATGCAGAGTCCAACCTGCTGAGCTGCTCCAGCCTTGGGAGAAACCCTGGCCCTGGCGATGGAGGAAGTTTTCTGGGAGTGTTTTGAAGGGTACTGATGCTTCCCAGTGCTGCCATGTGGCTTGGAAAGGCAGCCTGGAGCTTGAAGTTCCTCCTTGTGGGTTAAGCGGGGAGCCCAGGGTCGTGGCTCTGGGGTGGCTCAGCCCTCCGGTGCTGCCCAAGGCAATGCCACAGTGCTCGGCTGGAGGCTGGTGATCGGCTGTGGTCTCTTGGGCCAGTGAAAAGAGGTTTTTCAGTGCCCACAGCGAGCAGAGCGTGGCCGTGCATCGCTGCTTTGCTCTTTTTTAGCTAAAAGAAGCTCTTCCCTTCTTGTTGCGTGTCTAGACTGCATTGCACAAGCCCACACCCGCTGCCCGTCCCCTCCTGCCACGGGTCCTGCTCCAGGTCTCCCATCCTGTAGATGCCAGAATCACTGCTGGGATGCGAGGCGGGAGGAGAAGAGGCAGCACAAAAACCCCTTTCTGCTGGCTGCCACTTGGCTTTATCCCTGGCATCGCTTGGGTGGGCTCCCGCAAGAGCCTGCTCTAGTCACCCCCCCCACCCCAGCACATGGGGCTGCCCGCAGCAGCCGTGCTGGTGCCGCTCGGTAAGTGTTCACCGGGGCAATAGCTCCCCGGTTTCATTCCACCCACATCCAACTTCTTAGTGGAGGATCTGTGCTCGTTTGCACCAGTGCCTGGCCCCCTGTCAAGAGCTCCTGCAGGCAGCCAGGAGCTGCTCCTAATGGGCTGCCAGGGGATTTGTGCTCTGACAGTCGGGCGCTGACAGCTCCCTGCGACTGCTTGCTCCACCCGCCGGGCTCTCCTCTTCTCGGTCAAATGGCGGAGGATGCTCCCACTGCCACAGGGAGGTGGCTGCTTCTTTTTTCTCCCCCCAGCAAGTGTTTGCAATGGTGCTGGGGGTTGCGGGAACCCATTGCCTTGGTGGGGCCGATAAAGCCCTGGGGATGACAGTGGTGCAAGCAGAGGGTCCCCAGGCTGGAGGCAGCCCCTGGAGGGTGATGCTCCAGGACGGGGATGGACAGACAGGAGGTCTGGGTGTACCACAGGGCAAGTCTTGTCTCGGCTCCAAGGGGGGGCCTAGGGTGGGAGGCCCCCGTTAGCTGGGAGAGCTGGGAGCAAGTGCTGACACTCCGCAGGGCTCCCTCTCCAGCGGCTCTGGGGCCTCCCATGCTTTCTCCTGGCTGAAACATCGCCTCTCTTCTCTGTTTGATGCAGGGCTCCTCTGTCTCCCCCCAGACCCCACACAGGGGCGGGGGGTGCTCCTGGGGGCTCCCCAGGGCCCAGCCCCATCCCAGCGGTGGCCGTGGCAGCCACTGCAGAGAGACTGGCCTGTCGCATGGAGCAACTCATAGCCTGCCGTCTTGTATGGCTTTTTATTCCTATGTGATTATACATCCCACTTCATATAGGGATTGAAGCCGTGCAATACGCCGGGGTCCTACGGCGGAGAACAGCCCCTGTGCCATGGGAGCCGGCCTCAGAGGAGTCACCAAAGCTATCTCCTGGGGTGCTGAAAGAGGGCCGCTGGCCTCAGCCCAGGCTCTGTCGGGCATCCTGGGCTCCCCAGCCCTCTCGGGGGGCAGGTGAGGGGTGCCAAGCTGCTTTGGGGTGAGGCCAGCACAAGCTCGCTCCTTGCATTGCACCCCCTTGCAAAGGCAGGCCTGATACTGCACCACATCTGCTGCGGAGAGCCCCGGTGGCTGCGCTGGTAGGATCACCCCTGGGGAGACCCCTGCTTTGCTTTTGCCCCCCACTATCGCAGGAGACGGGCAACAGCCTCTGGCAGCATCTGGGTGCAGGCGCTGGAAGGAGGTACTGCCAGCAGGACGGGGGAGGAGGAGGAAGAGGAGGAGAAAGGAGCTGGGGAAT